AAAAAAAAAAAAAGAAAAATTTCATATCAGAATTCCAAAGAGGAGGGAGGAAATACTCAAATACACAATGGATGAGAGTTTTCTTAAACTGATGAATGACCTGAATTCTCAGAGTCAAGAGTCATAATGAATTAGAAGAAAGTTAAAGCAAAACAGTTCACACCTGGGCATCTAGTAGTGAACTGAAGCACGTTAAAGGTAAACAGCGTGAAAAAACAGCCAGAGAGAAATGACAGATTATATACAAAGTCATCAGCAATTACACTAGAGCAAATTTCTTAAAAGGAGCATAGGAGCAGATACCAAGAGAAAGTGAGCATTGCCCAGTCACCTCAATGTTCATTTGCAAGTGAACAGAAACTGACAAAGTTAACTACAAAATGGATAGGAACTTCCAAAGTTCTGACAGGAACCTCCAAAGGATTTCTTCAGGGAGAAGAAAAAGCATCCCAAAAAGGACATCTGAGATGTAAAAAGGAATGGTGAGTAAGAAAGTGGTATAACAAATAATAGTTAACATGTGATTGGTGACGCTAAAAACTTAAAATACTTGACACTATAACATGTTAAGATGGGAAGGAAGGGGTGACAGAAGACTCCTCTAAGATCTTGCTATTATTTGGGGAAAGGACAGGAACATTAATTAGCTTTAGATCTTAGGTACGTATATTAAAAATTTCAAAGACGCAAATCCAGCTTATAAGCCATTTGCAAGAGACTCATCTGAAACACAAGTCAAAGAATGAAAAGAGACGTATCAGGCAAGGGCTAACCAAAGCAAAGAGAGTATGGCTATATTATTAACAGACAACACAAACTTTAGCATTTTTTAGGGATAAGGAAGAATACAAATAGTGAGATGACAAATTTAAATGTAACTGCATTAATGATCAGATTAAATACAAATGGGCTAAGTGCTCCAATTAAAAGGCAGAGATTGTCAGATTAAAGAGCAAAACCCATCTGGATGCTACCTGCATCAACGTACTTCAAATATAAAATCACAAGTGGGTAAAAAGCAAAATGATGGAAAAAGATATAACATGATAACTCTAATCAAATGAAAGCTTGAATCGCTATATAATATCAGACCAAGCAGATTTCAGAGTAAAGATTATTATCAGGGGTAAACAAGGCCATCTCATGATGAAGGGGTCAATTAATTAAGAGACTATAACAATCCTAAATGTTACAGAACCTAGTAATAACTTTAAAATACATGAAGCAAAAACTAATAGAAATACAAAGAAAGTCGACAAATCCACAATTATATTTAGGGTTTTTTAGAGCTTATTTATTTATTTTGAGAGAAAGAGGGAAAGAGAGAGAGAATCCCAAGGAGGCTCTGCGCTGTCAGCGTGAAGCCCAATGTGGGGCTTGAACTCCCGAACCACGAGATCATTACCTGAGCCAAAATCAAGAGTCAGATGCTTAACCGATGAGCCACCCAGGAGCCCCTATTCAGGGATTATTAATGCTTTTCTCTTAATAATAGATCTTACAAGTAGACAGCAACTCAAAGGATAGAAAATACATGAACAACACCGTCAACCAACTTGATGCAACTGGTACTGACAGGACACAACAGTACTCTTCTCAACCTTCTCAAGTGCATATGGAACACTTGCCAAGATAGACCTGATTCGGGGCCATAAGACAAGTCTTAATAAATTTAAGAGGACTCAAGTCATACTAAGTATGTTATCCAATCACAATGTAATTAAATTAGAAATTAATATCATAAACATCTATGGAAAATCCCCAAATAAGTTGAAATTAAAGAATTCATGAGTCAAAGAAGAAATCCGAAAGTATTCTGAACTGGATGAAAATGAAAACACAACATAACAAGTACTTCAGAGGAAATTTACAGCACAAAAAGCCTGTTTTAAAAAATAAGAGAAGTCTCAAATCAGTGACTGCAACTTCCATGTTAAGAAACTTTAGGAAGAGAAGAGCAAATTAACCCAAAGAAAGTAGAAGAAAGGAAATACAACAGTAAAACCTTGGATTGTAACTTGTTCTGCGAGTGTTCCGCAAGACAAGCAGACATTTCTAATAAATTTTAACTTGATAAATGAGCGATGTCTTGCAATATGAGTAGTACGGGATGCCAAACGTCACATGATCACAACTGAGCCAACGGTTCTCGAAATTTGCTTTGATCTATGAGTGCTTTGGATTACAAGCGTGTTTCCGGAACTAATTATACTCACAAACCAAGGTTTTACTAGTAAAGATTAGAGTGGACATAAATAAAATAGAAAACGATACGGAAAAATCAATGAAACCAAAAACTGGTTCTTTGAAAAGATGAATAAAAATGATAAACTTCTAACCAGTTAATCAGGGAATAAAAAACAGAAGACATACAATAAATCTGACAAAATCCGTGTAAGACCTGTATACTAAAAACTACAAAACATTCCTGACAGAAATTTAAGAAGACATCCATAAATAGAAAGGTATCTTCATGAGTTAGGAGACTTAATATTGTTAAGATGTTAATTCTTCTCAAATTCATCTGTAGATACCAAGAAATCCCAACCAAAATCCCAGCAGACATTTTTTTTTTCAGTAATTGTCAAACTGATTCTAAAAATTCACATGGAAATGCAAAGGGCCTCGGATGGCCAAAACAAGTTTGAAAAAGAACAAAGTTGGAGGACTAACGCTTCCCGATTTCAAGACTTATTATGAAGCTACAGTAATCAAGACAGTGTGATATGGGCACAAGATAAACAGGTGGAAGGAACAGATTAGACTCTAGAAATATGCCCACACATGGAAAAGTTAACTGATTTCTGTGAAGACAATTCAGTAGAGAAAGGGCCATCTTTTCTCAACACGTGGTGCTAGAACGATTGGATGTCCATCCAAAAAAAATAATAACTTCAATTCATACCCTCATCATATAAAAATTCACTTAGAATATTATTCAGCAACATAAAGGGATGAACTACTGATACATGCATAGATGGGTTTCAAAATAATTAGGCTGGACAAAGGAAGCCAACAAACAAAAAGAGTACATGGTGTAGGATCTCATTTATATACAAATCTAGAGCTTGCAAAATAATGTATGATGATAGAAAGCAGGTTTGCTAAGGATAGCAGGGGACCAAGGGGCATAGACGGGGATCACAAAAAGGCACAAAGAACCTTCCGCCAATAACGGCACTGTTCACTCTCTTGTGATTATGGTTTCATAGGTGCACACACGTCAAAACTAACCAAATTATATACTTTAAATATGTGTAGTTTATTATATGTCAATTATACCTCAATAAAGCTATTTTTAAAAAGCAGGGGAGTCATTATTGGGTAGCCTGAGACCGTCTCAGGTTTCAAGCTTGGGAAAAACTGACAATGACAGGACACCGTATGTGTAATCTACCTCGAAGTTTTCTCCTAATACAGAGTAAAGCTAACTGTGTACTTGAGGCGAGTGCTCATTTGTAGCTTGCAATGGATGAACAAAGCATACCATCAGAGAAAAGATAGCAACTAGGAAAGACGAGAATTCACAAGCATGTTTTTTTGGTGGAGAAATTCTCATCTCAGCATCCTTTATTTATGGTAGTGACCACGGATAAAAAAATCTATTGACTGTTAACGGGCATTGGGAGCTATCCAGAGAATCTGGCATGTTCCAGCTACTTTCTGAGGGAAGGCAGTGCATCTTTAACCTCTGAATCTGCAGCCTCTGGCCTTGTGCCTGGCACATTAAGAGATAACCGATTAGTATATGCTAAATAAATACATGAATAAACTCATTCTATAATGTAAAATTCTTCTTAATAGCTGAAAAGTTTATCGTTTTTTTCCTTAGCTACCTTAGATGGAAATTAGGCCGATAACATATTTTTCTTAGTGACTAACTGTGGATCCAAATAATCAGCACTAACTATAGTTTGGAAAAGTAATATTGGGTAATCTCTAGATAGAACAATCACCTAACAAAAGATCTCTGCCACCCGTTAAAATCATAGGTCGTAACTTGTCTACCTGAAACATTTAAAATCACCAAAACAAAATTCAGTGGTGAATTCTGTTTTGTAGGTGCCAAGAGTACAATTCTTTTTCTTTTTTTTTTTTTTCAGATTATCTTTGGGATGTCTAATTACCTGGGGGAATGGGGGGGGGAGTTGGAATGCAAAATCTCAAACATGTTTCTTTTGATATGATTTAATGCATCATTCATTTTCCAAGTTTTAAAAACTGTCTGATTTGTTTGTCTCAGATGGTATAAAAAGGTTAGAGACACTGTAGATTAAAAAAAAAGGTCATGTGGGAATGACTGAAAGAAAATCTCACCTAAATCATCTATTTCCTTTTTAAAATATGTAGAACAACAGGATATTCTTTAAGTAGGAAATACATTTATTACTGCTTGACTTTTGAAATATGGTTTTCATTACTTTCTTTTCTTTAACCAAGGACATATGCATTTACTGAAATACATTTTTCCGCTAGGTGTCAATGAGCATTTAAGCAGAATCCAAGTTTAAGACTGAATTCTTCAACCTGGCACCTGTAGCCCACTATACCCTGGCCTGACCTCACCTCTGTCCCATCCCCTGATGCTGGCACTAGAGCTCCCTGCTTGGCCTGCTCTGTATGGGAGGCACCACTCTGCTTCCCACAGGGCACTCCTTCCCTGGCTCGGCCCCCTCTCCTAGTCCTGTGTATCCAAATCCTACCACCTATGGGCAATTGCAATGCTTAAGACTGGAGAGCCTGAAAACTTCTCGAAACTCAATCATGTATTCATGAAAAATCATGAATACACATTTTCATTTGGTCAGAGGTATGTTTCAAATATTTCTTTCTGCTGCTTCACTTCGCTTTTCCTATTAGGCTCCTCCGTCTCCTGACTCCTTTACTTTTCATCTTGCTCCCTCACATTTCATTTCCTTTTCCAGAGTCTTTTCCTGAGTTCTTATAATTGGAAAAAAGTCTTCACGGGACTGCTGTGTAGTAGAATATCTGGTAAATGTTCTTTTACTAGACAGAGAGTCTAAAAAGTCCCTAACACTTGATCGGATATGCTGATGACACACGTTACAATTCTGAGAAGGACAGTAATTCTGGAGTATCTTTTGAGCCAAGTCACAACTCTCTCTTGGATATGATAATCTAAACAGAAGGCCATTTTCATCAGGGTAAGATTATTCACCAAGTAATTTTTAGTAAAGGATGACCACAGTGGGACCTGTGCCAGAAGTCACCGTGAAAGTAGTTTCAGAGTAGCCAGAGACAAACCGTCTACTGCTCTAAGGGCTGCCCCTGCTTTTACCTTCACCCTATCCTCTTTCCCACCTCCGTATGTTCTATAGTTCACTGTCAACCAAAATTATTTACTAAGCATTTACCATGTACCAGGGACAGTGCTACCTGCTAACGATCCATCGGAAAGCAAAACAGAAAATAGTTTCCATCCCATGGAGCAGCAGGCCAGTGGAGAGAGAGACAGTCATAAGGCAAATAAGCATACACTTCACTGTGTGATTGCCAGTTACGAGAAACACAAAAAAGGATAAGAAAAGGGTGTTATGTGAGAGAACAGTAAGGGGACATAATTTACCTAAGTGCAGCTGGTCACAAAAGGCCTCTATACAGAAGTGACTAACTTAAGCCCAAACCTGAAGGCTGAAGAGGAATTAACAAGGCCTTTCAGTTACCCTTTATCCACATTTCCTTGTAACACTTCTACCCTGAAATGTGGCCTCATGGCTAAAGAAAGTTCTTCTGCAAGTGGAAAGAGTAACTTCCAAAAAGCAGCGGCATCTCCCCCAGACTGTTAACAACTTCAGAACAGGTACTCGGCAGGAGAGACTGGAGTAGCTCGTAAGTTCTCCTAAGCACGGGTATCTTGATTTTTGCATTCATCCTCTCTAATTCTCGGTTTTGCCTTACTTTCTCCAGACTCTCATGATGATTATACTCTTATAATTCAAGCAAGAAAGTTCTTTTGCATTATCTTTTACCATAAGTCGAATCAGCATGAATGGGATTACTGAAAGGAACATGCTATTAAATTCTGGCAGGGCAACCTGACTCCATCTAAAGTCCAGCAAATAGATATGCATGCTAAAATGTGAAACATCACTTGAAATTCTTCACATGTTTTTGGGTTAAATTATGTGGATCGCCATATAAAAAGCAGGAGGAGGCAATTCAATACTTTGGTCTTAACACTAAAATGAAAAATAAATTTCACTTACCTTCATTGATTTTTTTAGGTCTTTACTTGTTGATGCAGTGTCTTCCAGGTCTTTTGCGGAACTGCTCTTTGCGTGGCCATACATGCTTCCTACAACAGGATATATTTAGAAATATTTTTTTCTAAGTAATGAGAAGAAGAAAAGTTCTGATGCCCTCAGCGCAACTCCATCAAGCCTGACTTACGGGGTAAATACTAAAGAGGGCGGGACACTGGAGCACTGAACAAGGTCTACAATGCATATTTTCTGAAAGGCTGAGTTAAGGCAAAAAGCTCAGAATGACCTGACCAATGTAGACGTTTGCATTACCAGTACCCAAACACAGCTACAAAGGTAACAGTGTTAGGAAAGACTTCCGGAAAATATAAATTTCCTTTTTTAAATTAAATTCTTTGCACACAAATGGACATGTTACTTTTTAGTGTTTCAAATTGATCCACAAGTTATACAGTTGGAAAATGATCCTTTTTTTTAATTAAAAAATTTTTTTAAATGTTTATTTATTTTTGAGAGAGAGAGAGAAGAGGCAGAGTGCAAGCAGGAGAGGGGCAGAGAGAGAGGGAGACACAGAACCTGAAGCAGGCTCCAGGCCCTGAGCTGTCAGCACAGGGCCCGATGTGGGGCTCGAACCCATTGACCGTG